CAGCCAAGTAGGTGAAATTGTTTTGGTTGCCACTGATCCTAATGTTGTCCTTTGGTCCACACACAAAGCCAATTAAAATATGGATGAGCTGGTAAAATGAGATCCTGAGATATTTACTTCCCTTTAAGTATACAACCCCTCGGCTGACCCAGACAACTGACCCTTTTTGACCTCTGGTTTTGAGGGGCTGACTCTCATCCTATACTGTATGTATATATTACTTGATTGCGTGTCCGTGCACATGCACTATACGAAGTGGCGTGGCATTGTAAAAGGTGTGATCAGTTGCCTAAGTCCCTTTTCATCAGGGCTGTGCTGCCTTTAATTTTCTTGTTACACACACACACACGCACACACACACACACATGCACACACAGCCTAGCCTAAGCAGAGTGTGGCTCGGGTGGTCGCGGAAGCAAAAACCCAGGCGTGGGAGGAGTTTGGTGAGACCACGGAGCTGGACGTTCGTTCAGCTTTGAGGATTATCTGGTCCACCATCCGGCGCCTCAGGAGGGGAAAGCAGTGCAATACCAACACTGTGTAGTGAGGGCAGTGTGCTGCTGACCTCCTCTCAGGATGTTGTGGATCAGTGGGCGGAGTACTTCAAATACCTCCTCATTCCCATCGGCACATCTTCCAGTGAGGAAGCAGAGTCTGGGGACTTTGGGTTGGACGCACCAATCTCTGGGGCTGAGGTCACTGAGTTTGTCAAAAAAAAACTCGGTGGAAAAGCTCTGGAGATCCACCCAGAGTTCCTTAAGGTTCTGGATGTCGTAGGGCTGTGTTGGCTGATGCCGCTCTACATTATCGGGGGCAGTTCCACTGGATTTGTACACTGGGGTGGTGGTCCCTCTATTTAAAAAGGGGGACCACAGAGTGTGTTCTAAAGGGATCACACTTCTGATCTATTAAGGCGCTCTGGAGAGAAGGGTCCCTCAGATTGTCGAACCTCAAATTCAGAAGGAACAATGCGTTTTTCGTCCAAGCTGTGAAACACCGGACCAGCTCTGTACCCTTAGGGGGATCCTGGCGTTAGATCGATAGGTGGATCGGTGCTGCATCTGTAGTGAAACGGGCGTTGTACCGATCTGTCGTGGTGAAGAGAGAGCTGAGCCGGATGACAAAGCTCTCGATTTACCAGGTCAATCTACGTTCCTACCCTCACCTATGGTCAACAGCTTTGGGTAGTGACCGAAAGAACGAGATCACGGATGCAAGCGGCTAAAATTAGTTTTCTCCACAGGTTGTCTGAGCTCTCTCTTAAGATACGGTGAGAAGCTCGGTCATCTGTGAGGGGCTCGGAGTAGACCCGCTGCTCCTCCATTTCGAGAGGAGCCAGTTGAGGTGGCTCGGGCATCTGATTAGGATACCTCCCTGGTGAGGTTTTCCAGGCACGGCCAACTGGAAAGATACCCAAGGGAAGACCCAGGACACACTGGAGGGACTATGTCTTCTCCCTGGCCAGGGAACACCTTGGGATTCCCACACAGGAGCTCGTCCAAGTAGCTGGGGTGAGAGATGTCCGGACCTCTCGACCTAGGCTGCTGACCCCGTGACCCAACTCTGGATGAGCGGCTGAAAATGGATGGATGAACAATAGCAAGCAAGGAGAAAGACAGCTGCATGTTTCCAAAAAGGTCTGTTTATCTTTTGTTCTGTTTACATCAGCTACAGGGTTTTAACAGGGAATGACGAACATTTACCAGCATGTGACTTTTATTTTGAAAGTTTTCGGATTGCCTGGTTTAATCTGAACTGCAAAGTTTGACGTGTTCTTCAAGCGCAGCGTGTAAAAAAAATAGACTCAAAACGTGACGTTGGGGGCGTGTCCACACCGTCACATTTAGCTGCCGGTGGAAAGGAACTCTTCCACTACAACGGCGGCTAACTGCCGCGTAGTTCGTTTTGCTGCTGTTTCGTGACACAAGAAGGGGTAAGTAATACAAATCTCATGTCAGTCATACAAAAGGCAAAAAATGAGAATTTTTTTTTCCTAGTGTGAAAGTTAAAGGGTTCAAATGAATTTCAAAACTGAGAACTCAAAATTCTTGGTTTTTTGTAACTAACTTTCTTTTATTATTGTTTTAAAATATTAGTGCTAGTTTACAATAAAGCCTCCTAATTGGGGAGCCTTTAAAGTTTCGTGTCCCAAATATCAATTGTTTACATTCCCCAAACACAGCTACAGCTACAATCAAAACAGTTTAGATTGTAAACAAAGATATTTTTACATTTGAATACATTAAGATAAAATGCAGAAGAGCAGCCCTGTGTGAAAGTGCTGGCAGGGTGGAGGTTGTGAGTTCAAATTCCATTTAGGAAATTTAGTCTATAGCTTTATTTATTCCAGGGGTCCTCAACTACATTTGTTCAAGGGTTTTGTTCCAGCAGACACCAGTGAAGGCCAGACGCTCTTCTAAAACAAAGTTCAAATATCATGGTATCTTAATTTACAATGAATTTTATGCATGAAAGGTTCATTAACAAAACATTTACTGTCAAAAACTCTAATATTGTAATAGTGTAAGGTGGGGTAGGTGCACATAAGCTTCTTTGCTTCAGCCTACTCCATTTGAGGATTGTTGTTGAAATGTAGTGAAATTTGAAAGAATACAACAAATGTAACTGCTCAATGAATGTGCTAAATAAATAAAAAATAAAAACATTTGTTACAATTTAAAATGGCCTTGATTCCCATTTAAACTGTTTGATTGTGGTTCTGGTTGTGTTTGGAGAATGTAAACAGTTGTAGATGTTTGGGGCATTAAACTGTAAAGGCCCCCACTCGGGGGTGTTAGGGTTAAACAGGTGAAGAGCATCAGTGAGGTCGCTCTGGTTCTCCTCGTTGACGTTCCAAGAGACAAATGAGAACGTAAAGGTTACAGATCTGTTATTAGTGCCATTTAAGAACAAGAAAGCTAATTAGTTTTAAATTGTTTTTTATGTTTTTTCTTCTGATGTTTTTTGTTATGTTTTATCCAAAGAAATAAATGTGACATTAACTTGAACTCAGCGACCAAAAGGACCTCTCAGGTGCTAAACTCAAACCAGCCCAGGGTTTCATCAGTCAGATGTCCTTATTATGTCATAAAGTCATAAAAGTCCTCCTAAAATTAGTTCAAGTCACATCTGTGAAGTGTTTTCTCAAATCAAATGTATGTAGATCTTGTACTTTTGTACATTTTTCTCTGACAAATAAATTTATTTTAATTTAAGAAACAAGAAGTGAATGTAGACAGCAGACATTTATCGCAACGTGCCTGCAGACTGCTCCCGTCTCTAAATATAAATCCACTTCTAACACTTCCTTAAACCAGTCCACTTCATGCCTAACAAGTCTGCAGAGTTACAAACACTGGGCTGAACCTATGAAACTCAATCACCCACGAGAGCCCAGAGCCATCCAGTGTGCAGGAGCCAAAGCTTTCCCCCCCCCAACTGTAAATCAGACTTGCTCTACTGCCGCAGAAACTGAATGTTTCCGGTAGGAGTGAAAAGAGCGTCACACCTGCTTCGTTTGTCTTTAATTGGTTTTAAATCGTAGTTGTAATTCTGGCCTGAGAGCCATTCCACCTCTTGTGTAATCCACCTCTTTGTTTTGAGTAGAAACTGTAGTCAGAGAGCTAAGAGAAATGTTAAAAGCTGCTTCCACTGGGTCATGAGGGTCACCGTGGTAACCATACATCTGTGTCACACACTCTACAACAGGATTGTTTGTGCGACCAGCAAATAAAAAATGCAGAAAGGAAATCCTGAATCATACGTAGAAAAGTTTAATCTACAGTGCTTTTCTTTCTTTCTTTCTTTCTTTCTTTCTTTCTTTCTTTCTTTCTTTCTTTCTTTCTTTCTTTCTTTCTTTCTTTCTTTCTTTCTTTCTTTCTTTCTTTCTTTCTTTCTTTCTTTCTTTCTTTCTTTCTTTCTTTCTTTCTTTCTTCCTTCCTTCCTTCCTTCCTTCCTTCCTTCCTTCCTTCCTTCCTTCCTTCCTTCCTTCCTTTTGTTTCTAGTTTCAATTCTACAGGTTTTCTTTCACAACAACTATTTTGACTTTTAGAGCTTGAGAAAGCACAAGTTAGTTAGTGAGGGCTGCATTCCATTTAGCACAAACTCTTCTTGTCTGCAGTTTTGCAGAACAACCAGCATGAACAGCTGCATGTTTGGAACGCAGCCCTCCTTAAAACAACTGTGATTTGTCTTTTTCTAATTAAGCTTCCTCCTCAGCCCTCACACAGTACTGCCTCAGCGGCATTTACCACCATCATGGTATAGCTACTAATTCTAACTGAGCTGCACGTTTCAAATCAAAACATCACAACAGAAATGGAAGAGTAATGCACTTTACTTTCCTACAGCTCAGTGGCCTAGTGGTAGAGAGTCCGTCCTGAGACTGGGAGATCAGGATTCGATTCCTGGTCGGGTCATACCAAAGACTTTGAAAAAATGGGACCCAATACCTCCCTGCTTGACACTCAGCATTAAGGGGTTGGATTGGGGGGGTTAAACCACCAAATAGTTCCCGAGCGCGGCTGTGTCTGCAGCTCACCGCTCCCCCAGCGGATGGGTCAAATGCGGAGAACAAATTTCGCACACACATCAGTGTGTGTGACAACTAATGGGACTTTAACTTTATTGACACTGCAAGAAATAAAATATTGAATTTACTTAAACTAGCTATGTTTACCAAAATACATTGTTATGTGTTTACATTTAAATAACTGATGGAACTGGTTGGCATAAAATCAACCTTTCTGTTTTTACAGTGTAGGCAGGTAAACTAGATGCTTTTCAGGATTCTAATCATTTTGCAATCCCAACACAACAGGTGCACTTCAAGTGTTTGCAGAATCTTCCTTCTTTTATCAGACTAAAACTAATAAAATAAGTTATTACATCACCTTGTTTATATTTACCAGATTCCCAGATAATGACTAATTTGGATTAAAGCAAGACAAATTATACATGATTAATATGTGCACATTAACAGGTTTGGTTGTCTTTCTTACCTTCTCTATTGACTTGTTACGGATGTTTACTTTGCCCACAGCTTGGACACCTTAAAGACCGTCTCAGTCCAGCAGACGGGTGTTCAGACGGACTAAAGCGTGGTGAGAAGAAGGACACAGAGCAAAACTTCAGGCTCTTGAACGAGTGGCGCTTGTTGACGGCTCACACATGTTTAGCATCGCCTTTCATCAAGTCATGGTCAGCGAAACCTGTCCGAGGGGAGACCTGGAAGTGGAGGATTACCCAGCGGTGGGTCAGTCAGTGCCTCCCAGCACGCTGGCACAGGCAGCACTGGTTCCGGCTCACTCTTACTGGATCATTATGTAATCGGATGAGCACAGTTTGCACTTTTTTCTCCTCCTTGTGCAACTGAAGCGGAGTGAAAGAGCGCCCTGTGCGTCCACTCGCAGGGACGTTTAAAAAAGCCCACTCCTCTGAGGCCTCCTCCCGCCTCACCCCCTCCTGCATCAACCCAAAAGTATTCAGATGGCCGCTGTTTCTCAACATTTTTAATTCATTAATGCAACTCTCCTCCCATGTTTCTCCTCCCACCCCCCCATCAGTGTGTGTTCTCTGACTGTACAGTATAAAAGGCCCTTTGTTGCAACAGAAAAAACTCCTCCGCTGTTTCAGCCTTTGTCAACTTTCTCATGTAAATGTTTGATGGCTAGATGACACCAGCCTGGAAGTTGGGGTGCTGGAATGAGGAGATTTACAAATCAAAGAATAAAACAGAAAGACTGGGCTCTATTCTTGTGCATCCGGCCATTTGTAGTTTCGTGTTTGCCGGGAGGCGAGTGGTGAATGGATAATCGGTGCATCTCTGTGAGGTGCTGCCACGTCCGCCTTCCTGCACAGAGGCGGCAACTTGGTGGAGTAAGGGCGAGGACAAATGATCCTGCTGTCCGTGAAACAGGATGAATTCATTCACCAAAGCCACCGCTCTGACACGGCGCCTGTGATCAAGTCATGTCGACGGTGTTGCATTTGTTTCACAACTTTTCCTAAAGGTGTTGCCATGTTGTGTTCCTGGAACCAGAGTGTGTTCACTCGTTTTAGCCTCCTCAGACCCTTGGTCCACACATGAGGACACTGGCTTCCTGCACTGATATTTTATTCTCTTCAGCTTTAATGTTCTCTTTTTATTTCTTTTTTTTTATTTTTTTATTTTTTTTAGGAAATTTGTCAGTATATGTATTTAATTTTATTTCACATCACAGCGAATGCAAATCCGGTTCTCAGGAGGTTAAGGGTTTACTGGAACCCACCACTAGGGGGAGCACTCCTACCGCTCTGGCTTCAGTAGCATTTTGATATTAACTTTTGCATTTCTGTGTGTGCATGCATCTAAAAGTGCATATTCACACATGGTGATATACACACGTTAGGGTTTATTACACGTCTTACATGTTCATCTTGTTTAGATTCTGTCTTCCCATCTCAGTATGTTTACTTCTGAAAACTATAGTATTTTATTCCGTTCAACTTAGACAATTGTTGATTGAAATAAATATTATTTTCCTATTATTAATTATTTAATGTAATAAAACCAATGCACATTTTTCAGTAAGTGTTAATACATGCTGTTTTTCTATGCTTTCCAGGCTAATATTATCCCAAACACCTCTAGAGCAAACTTTAATAGAACATCAAACAAAAGTGTCGGGGCGATTAGCGCTTCAGTTTCATTTGTTAAGAAATTGCAAAAATAGTAACATCCATCCATTCATTTTCATCCGCTTATCCGGAGTCAGGTCGCGGAGGCAGTAGCCTAAGGCGAGAGGCCCAGACTTCCCTCTCCCCAGCCACTTGGACCAGCTCCTCCGGGGGAATCCCAAGGTGTTCCCTGGCCAGGTGAGAGACATAGTCCCTCCACCATGTCCTGGGTCTACCTTTAGATCTCCTCCCGGTTGGAAGTGCTCGGAAAAGATTGCAGGGAGGCGTCCAGGAGGCGTTCTGACCAGATGCCCGAGCCACCTCAACTGGCTCATCTCGATGTGGAGGAGCAGCGGGTCTACTCCGAGTCCCTCCCGGATGACCGAGCTTCTCACCCTATCTCTACCCTGCGGAGAAAACTCATTTCGGCCGCTTGTATCCGCGATCTCGTTCTTTCGGTCACTACCCAAAGCTCATGACCATAGGTGAGGGTAGGAACGTAGATCGGCCGGTAAATCGAGAGCTTCGCCTTCCGGCTCAGCTCTCTCTTCACCACGACAGACCGGTCTCACTACAGACGCAGCACCAGTCCACCTATCAATCTCATCTTTCCTGCACTTGTGAACAAGACCCCGAGACGTTAAACTCCTCCACATGAGGCAGGGGAATCATATTAGGTATAACTATTTTTCAGGCCATTATGATCATCCCTGTGACTCTAGTTGGTTGTTTTCAAGCAAGAAAGAGCCTGAAAGTCAAATTCATATTTCATGTCTTCAAAATAAAAAGATTCAAAAAAATTAAATGAAATTTATAGTTCCAGCTGTAACTTATATTATATTCTTTTATATTAATAACTTACATTAACCTTTGGGTAAATTCTGAGCAACAAAACAGAGGAAACTTGTAGGTAGATTAGCTTTCTTTGCATTATTTCTTGTGAAAAATCACATAAAATGTCATTTAGATCTGGTTTCTTTTTGTAATAAAAGAGACATTTTTGACTTGTTATGCAGGTAAATCATTAAAATTAGAAATCAATAGAAATTTGTACAATGTAAGTTCTTGAGAACATTTAAATAAAACAGTTAACAGCAAGTAAAGCATGAAGTAAACATCAGAAGTAGAAATGACATGGTGTTCATGTGGAATAACCGCTGTTACTGCATATGTGAATACAAAATAACGTCAAACGTCCAGGTTGTCAGTCACATTGGAATGATATTCATAAATATAAATGAAGGAGCTGCGTTGTGTTTACCAGGAACAGTGTTAGGATGAAAGAATGTCGCCTTCCTCTGCCTCTCTGGTTTCAGAGCTGAGTTTAGGAGAACTCTGTCTCACAGGAAGGAGGAGCAGGAGGGAGAAGACAAAGAAAAGGAGGGAAGGAAGACAGGAGAAGCTAAAGACAAAGGTGGTAAAGGAACAGGAGTGATGATGAAAGAGGAGGCTGGGAGGAAGGAGGGAGAAAAGTGTTCACATGGAGGAATCAGAAGGCTTCCTTCTTTCTTGCCTCGTGCATCCACCCCTTTCTTTGTAGTCTTGCATCAGAGTTTCCCCCGCAGGATGCTCAGGTTGCCTTCTGCTTCGTTTGAGCCTGAGAAGACCTCTTAGACTAACCAGGACTTACAATGTGCAAGCACAGACCCAGAAAGCATGAAGCAGAAACAGCTAATTAAAGCTCACAGGCAGATGTTTTACTGCTCCTTCATTTGTTCTTGAGAAGCAGTCAACAGCTGTTTGACACTTTGCTCTGTCTCCTATGGAACATTAAAGCTCCCAGTCACTCTTGCATCTAGAAGCGTCTACCTGCTGCTGTCTGTCTCCCTTTCATTTCTGCGTGTTTGTTTCGTTTCCTGTTGGACCTCTGAAGGTCTGCCCTGGGCACACTGACAGAGGCGAGGCTGCCACACAGGCGCCACCGGTCCCTCCGATCACCACCAGAGGGCAATGGGGGTGAAGAACCTGCAACCTTCTGATTACTGGACAACCTGCTCTGCCTCCTGAGCTACTGCTGTCCCTCTGTGATTGTAATCAATATTTGTTTGCAACTGCTAAACTAGCAATCTGGAAAACTAGGAAGAACCAGACGTTGGGATGGAGCTGGACTGATGTGGAGCAGAGTCTGAAGGATCTGGTTGGCGCTCACCTGAAACAGGAACATGCTTCTTATATACTCACCTGTAACCTTGACATGTTCAAAGCTCTGTGGGGGATCAGGCAGGGTCTTTGTTTGGTAGATGAACATGGTTCCGTCAGGATCAACTTTTAAATGTGTGTGGTTTCAACAGGTTTTGTTGTTGTTTCTTGCTGCAGTCTTAATGTAAGAATTAGTATCCATGAGTCAGAAGGGTTGATGTCTGACCCGAGTTTCTGACTTGGGAAAAAAAAAATAATTTAAAAAGTCAATCTCTCTTTGTGTGTGTGTGTGTGTGTGTGTGTGTGTGTGTGTGTGTGTGTGTGTGTGTGTGTGTGTGTGTGTGTGTGTGTGTGTGTGTGTGTGTGTGTGTGTGTGTGTGTGTGTGTGTGTGTGTGTGTGTGTGTGTGTGTGTGTGTGTGTGTGTGTGTGTGTGTGTGTGTGTGTGTGTGTGTGTGTATTAGTGATGCACCGATGTGAAATTTTTGGGCTGATGCTAATATCCGATATTAAGATCACTGTTATGGCCGATAACCGATATGCTGACATTAATGCTTCTAAAATCAGCAGATTTTGTATAGAATGAAAATTATTAAAGCTGAATTTACGTTATTATGTACCAGAGATGTGACTTGGGGCATCATCAAGTCATCTCCATGTCATGTTTTTGTTCTGCTCAGCAATTTAACCAGGTGATTTCAATCAGCACAGTGAATTAACCTGGTTCAGTTGATGAGCAGAACAAAAACATGACTTGTTGCCACAATGCCACACCTCAGTTATGTACACACACCACACACATTTACGGTTCTGAGATGACTGCATTCACTGTCACATGACTAAACAATTACACATCACCCCCCTCACCCTCTGAAACAGGGAAACAAATGGAGACGAGATGGAAAAAATATTGGTTGTTAATATCGGCCCGGTTTTATTTATCGAACCGATACCGATATGTATGATGCCAATATGTTGTCCATCCCTATAGTGTATCTCTCTCTTTCTGAGTGTGTGTGTCTCTCCCTCTGTGTGTGTGTGTGTGTGTGTGTGTGTGTGTGTCTCTCTCTCTCATGCTTCAGTTAGATCTAGACACTAAGTGGTGCTCTATGGCCTGTATGGTAAATGGCCTGTATTTAATATAGAGCCTATGGTCCTGGAACCCCCCAAAGCACTTTACAACACAATCAATCATTCACACGCTGGTGGTGATGAGCTACATTGCACAACAACAGAGGCGAGTCTGCCGTACACTGGCGCCACTGGTCCCTCCAAACACCACCAGCAGACAAAGTGGGTTAAGTGTGTTGCACAAGGACACAACGACAGCAACAGACTGAGCGGGACTCGAACCTGCAACCTTCTGATTACGAGGTGAGCACTTAACTCCTGTGCCACCGTCCATCGCCCTACCTGGGCCTGGTTCTACCAGAGTGATGACCTGCGGGTTAGAGTTAAAACTTCTTCATAACCTAACAGCAGCTGAAAACAAGAGTGAGTCTGTTTTTAAGATCAGGCTGTGCTCTGGAGTTCTGGAGAACCCAAAAATAAACAGCTGTAAGGTGACAATTTCTGTGAAGGTGCAAGTGTCATAGATTTTTTGAAAACCACTAAGATTTATTTATTTTAACTATAGTTCTTCAGGTAAGAACTGTTTCTGCAGGAGTCTTTGTGTGACCACTAATAGGTCTGTCACTGAAGGAACCGTGGATCAC